CATAGCCCGTCATGCCGGCCTGTGAGGCACCCCGGTTGGTGCCCATCTGCAGCCCGATGACACTCTGGCCCTCCTTCAGCTTGTCCTCGGAGAAGACACGCCGGTTCTCCTGTGACTTCCTGTGGGCACAGTGGGTGTCAGCATCCCCATGGAACCCCACAGCTCAGCATCCCCCTCCAGCACCCACTACTTACTTGGGGAACCAGTTGGGGTCTCCAACGAAGAGCCCATCTCCCTTGGCCACGGCCAGGCTGCCCAGGTTCATCAGAGTCCTTTGCACACATGCCATGTTCTTCCCTGCAAGACCCCCAGGAGTCTTGGCTCTGTCCTCATCCCTGTCCCCAATCCCAGCCCCCCATGCCCATCCAGCCACTCACCTTCCCAGAGGTCGACGGTCTGGAAGATGTCGGTGGCAGCGATGCCGTATCGCTCGGCCGCCTGCAGGAACTGTGAGATCTGCTCCATCTGCTTGAAGGCCATGGCGGATGCCTGGATCTTGGCCACCGGCCCCTGGCCCCGTGGGTGCAGGCTGTTGATGAGCCGGCACAGCACCTGGCCGGGAGGGAGCCGGGGTCAGACGGCGCAATGCTGCAACCCCCTGTCCCGGCCAGCCCCGGGGGTACTCACGGTGCCATCCTTTAGCCACTGCTGGAAGCCGTCCCTGCCGGGCGCTGGCTGTGCCACATCCCCCCCACACTGTGCCAGAATCCACCGCACCAGGATCTGCTCCAGCTCAGGGTCATACTGCCGGTCAATCTTTTGCTGCACCTCCCGGCTGAGGCCGTATGATGGTCCCCGGTTTGCCATGCTGACAGCAGGTGAGGGGTCTGCAGAGGTTGGACCCCTGTCAGTGGCTCTGGTAGCACTGAGGGACCCGCACAGGATGGACGTGGTGGAGCCCCTCAGGCACATCGGTGGTAGCAGCTGTGGTAGCTGTGCCCCAGCAGTGTGGCAGAGCCCCATCTGCCTGGCCAGGCTGCCTGGACGTCCGGCGTGGGACCTTATCGCCTGTGCCAGGCGCTGCCCGGGCTCTGCCCTGCCCTGCCAGCTTCCTGCCCACAGCTGGGAGCAGGCGCTGGGTCTGTGCCCACCCAAGGGCAATGGGGCAATTCAGCCCCAGGCAGGATGGGCAGCACCACAGCCCCTCTGTGCTGGGGCCAGACCCCCTGCCCCGAGCATCCTCATCCCCACAGCTCAGCCCTGCCAAGCACGCACGGATTTGGCAGACTCTTGCTGCCGGTCGGAGCTTGTTTGCAAATCTCACCCATTTGCTCGGGCTGGGAGCCAGATCCAGGACCAGCTCAGGAGCATAGAGCTGTGGCAGCAATGCCCCCACCCCGGCAGGGGAGCTGGGCCCAGCACTGCCCGTGCCAAGGTGTCACGGAAGCGGTGCCACCCGTGCTGAGGAGGACAGAGGTGGCACATGGTGCTTTGTGGGTAACTCAAGTGGATCAAGCACTACCATGCCCACACAACTGGGGGGCTCCAAACCCTGGGGTGGCCTAGACCCAGCCAGGGTGGGCACTCAGGTCTGCTGGGCCGAGCATCACCTCCCCACTCTTGTCCTGCACCCCAGGGGTCCTGGTACCCCTGCCAGCCCAGGCGCCTGTGTCTCAGCTGGGGCCATATGGCAGCTGCCAGCCTGGGGCAGCTCAGCCTGGGGACCAGGCTCAGTTTGTGACATTGCCAGGAGGCTAGGGGCTCCTGCCACCAGGAGCAGCCGGGGATGAGATACCCCAGCTCACCGTGACAGAAGGAAAAAGAGCCTCAAGTCCACGGGGAAGCCAATGGCAGCTGTATGACACCTCAGCATCACAGCCACCCCACAACCACAGATTGCCCAGGGCCAGTTGGGCATTCCCCCAAAGCCACCATGGGGCTCCTGGGGCAAGGGCTGTGTCATAGGCAGCCCCCGCAGGGAGGGATCTAGCTTCCCTGGAGTGCAGGGAGTGCCCGGCCAAGGGCCAAGCTGGTTGGGAAACAAAGAAGAGATGAAATTGGTGCAGACAAGGCTGATTTCCCGACACAGCTGGGGCTTGCCCAGGCGCGGGGGGGGCCAGACCCAGCCCAGCTGCAGCACTGTAAGGCTGGGGACTCCAGGGACACCGTGGGAGGGGGCCTGAACCCAGCCCAGATGGGCATGGCCACCCTAGGGACCCCACAGCAGCCTGGCGGGCAGTGGGGAGGGGGGCATGCCCAGACTGGCTGGGGCACAGCCACCCCGGCGACACTCCAGGCATCCTGGGAACAGCAAGGAGGGGATCCCAACTGGGATACAGCTGCCCTGGGGACCCCAGAGATAACCTGAAGATCCCATAGACCTCCTTGGGCCAGCAGGGAGGGGACTATACCCAGCCCAGCTAGGACAAGGCCACCATAGGGACCTCATAGACACCACCCCTCCGCTCCCAGTGCCAGCAGGGCGGGGACCTCAGCAGCACAGGGCCACCCTGGGGACCCGCGAGACGCCCCGGGGGCTGCAGGGAGGGGGCTGTGGTCCAGGGTACGGCAACTTGGGGTACCATAGACCCCCGGGGCTAGTGGGAAGGGCACCCCCGCCTGGGACACGGGCGCCCGGAGGACCCCGGTAGCACCAGGATGGGGAATGGACCCAGCCTGGCTGGGTCACGGGCACCCCGGGAGGGGGCCGGGTCCCGGAAGAGTCACAGCCCCAGCCCA